TTTTTCAGACATGTCGTGTAAAATTAAAGTGGAACAAGGCGTGTTGCAAGGGAAGGAGTGTATTTCGTGTTATGGAAAGAAATACTACAGTTTTGAAGGGATACCTTACGCTAAACCTCCAGTTGGGAAGCTGAGATTTCGGGTAAGTAAAATAGAAATCGCATGGGAGCAGATGTGAATAAGTTTCCTTTTATGGCACCAAGTGACAGAAAGCACAAGTCATACGCCTCCTGGCCATAGAATTTGCAATGACACTCAGATCTTTAAGCCGCAAAGATGTTTTGAAAATATATAATTAAATACGGAATCGCACGAAATCATTCCACCAGCTCCTTTTTAAAATCGCGGCACTAAGGGTCGTATTCCAGAACTCTACTCAATACTCAAGTCAGGATTTGAGCAGACTTGAGTATGATTTCAAGCACTGGAAATACAACCCTAATGGCAAGGACTTGAGTATGATTTCTAGTGCTTTGATTCATACTCAAGTCCTGACTTGAGCATTGAGTACAGTTCTAGAATACGACCCTAAGAGTCTATGCACACGGCGTGTTTTATACGCGCCCAGAGAATAAAGAATAAGAGAACGGACACTCTCCGGCTCTCCCTAGTTTTAGATACCGCACCATGCCCCGCACATTGCCGGTCACATGGACTGAAGGACAACAACGCTGCCGGCGAGCCGTTTTCGGGCGAAGACGGCTTTGATATTTAAATAAAGTTTCCATTTATTCATTACGAAACTTGTACGTTAACATATAACATCATTGTACGTTACTATTTATAATGATCGTGAATTGTATACGGCTGTTTATCATCATTTTCCAAAAGATGAAACTCATTATGTTATTGTTTTCTTAATTTATTTACTGCAGAGTAATATACATGTATAAAAAATACAGATTTATTTAATCAATATAATGAGACGCCATAACTTCGCGAATTTTCTATTCATATTGCCGATAAATATTACGTAGGTAGTGAATATATCTAATTATTAACTAAACTTGGACAAGCTATTTCAAATATCTTGGTTACCATAACATTTTAAGTGTTTTTAACATTGACTTACAAATAAATGGACGACGGGTCTAATACAAAAACCACGAAAAAAATGTCCCAAGTCAACCTATTTAAACGTAGTGACATGTAAAGGAATATGAAAAAGCTAAAACGTTGAATTTAAATTGTAATGTCATTGCAGTACTGTCTAATTTTGCTTGCTTCGCTGTCAGTCGAACAAACGAAGACTAAAACGTGAATGACGCTCTGTATACTATTTTAACGCCCTTTAAGTTCGGACACTTTTTAGCGCGGACCCGACGTCCATATAATTGCAAGTCAATGGTTTTTAATATATTTTTGAAATAAATCGTCAATATTACTCTAGTTAGTGAATTAATGAAAAATATAACAATATACCGATATAAATACCTAATAGACATGTACAATAATTAGGATTCTATTAATAGAATCATAGATAATAGATTCGCGTTAGATTTTTTTTTTGTAGTAGGTAAATAATTTTCGACCGTTGAATGGAGTGTCCGGGGTGTGACGCGCCGACGACGCGCGTTTAAGCGTGTTGTCGTCCATATTCATTAATCAGCAGTCTATCGTAGTCCACTGCTAGACATAGGCCTCTCCCAATGCGCGCCATTTCGCCCGGTCCTCAGCTCGTTACATCCATCTGCTGCCAGCAACCCTTAGCAAATCGTGAGTCCTTCTGGCCAGATCCTACACTATGTTTGCCGAGCCGTGGTCTCCACTCCAGAGCTCGCATCCCCCATCGGTTATCGGTTCTTCGACCAGCCCACTGCCACTTCAGCTTGTTTATTATACCAGCTTTGTCGACGACGATTATTAATACAAAGATCTTGGACCTTTTCAAGATGAACATGTAGGCATTACATAGGTGTGAATGCTCTATCGGGTGAGATGAAGGTCAAATGCGCACTTTTTTTAATCATAAAAATCTTAATCAGGATTTGATAGTAAAGGCATTAGGCCTTTCCTTCAACATTGAAAAGGATGCATTTGAGTTAAGCGGCAAGGTTATAGCTGCACCTGAAGTAGAGACTAAGCGTACTGTATTAAGTTCCATAAGTAAATTTTTTGATCCAATGGGTTACGCTGGCCCTTCAGTCGTCAAGGCTAAAATAATTTAACAACAGATGTGGAAACACAACCTAGATTGGGACGCACCTCTTCCTTCCAAACTTCAAAAAATATGGAAGAAGTTTCATTCTTCAATGTACAATATGGATAAAATCTCGAGACTTACATCTACATGAAGCACAAGAAGTGGAATTGCTCGGATTTTCTGATGCATCATCTGACGCATATGGTTGTTGCATATTTTGAAGGTGCAAAACGTTGATAAAAAATATCACATAAATCTCTTATTTATTATTATTTTTTATTTATGCGCCAAATCTCGTATTGTTGGCTTAGATTCCAAATTAACTATTCCAAAACTAGAACTCAATGGAGCCTTACTTTTATCTAAACTAGTTTCATAGGTCTTAACCATAATTAGTAACGTAAAAGGAATATTTCTATTTTGTGACTTAAAAATAGCTTTGGGGTGGATAAACACTGTTGAGGAGAAATTATCATCATATATGGCTAATCGTGTCAAAGAAATTAATAAATTAACTAATGGTATGACATGGAAGTTCACTCCAGGTTTGGCAAATCCAGCAGATATTCTGTCTCGCGGTGGAGATCCCAAGGATATTTTACATAACTGCTTGTGGTGGCATGGTTCTGATTATTTAAAAAACAATTTCTACTATTTTCAATTATCAGATGTAGAGTTCCCTATTTCATTGTTTGATGAGCAAGTAACTCAAACCTCAAATCTTTCTACTGACAATTGCATAATGCCATTCTTTACAAGGTTTTCAAATATCAATAAAATGCAACGAATTATGTCATATATGTTAAGGTTTATTAACAAATGTAAGAAACTCTCGACAAATACAGGTTATATTACAGTTTTAGAACTTCAAGATTCTTTACAAGTTATCATACGATATGTTCAACATCATTATTTCTCAAAGGAAATAGATTGCATAAAAAGGGGTGTTGACTATAAAACAAATTCTAGTTGTCATCTAAAAATGTTACACCCTTTTGTCGATGATAAAAACATTCTTAGGGTAGGCGGGAGATTACAAAATTCTAATCTACCGTTCAATAGGAAATTTCCAATAATTTTGCCTAAAAGGTGTGACGTAACTCGACTCATAATTCTAAATGACCATTTAATTTTATTACATGGCGGTCTTTTAAGTCGTTGTATTGCCAATATAGTTTTGTATCATACTGTGACTACTACCTATTTGTTAAGAATACTATAGAAATACTTATTCTAATATATGTAGTTATATATTTTGTTTAAATGTATCTTAAACATTTTAATATTTAAGTTGTGACTGAAGTGTCAATAGGTGGTTTATTTTAATTTCATGCGCGGGCGCAATTATGTCAACGACATACAATTTCTTTTTTTTTTGTTAAATACTTTTTCTTCCTTTGCAATTTATTTATTTTTGTTTCTTTTGTTTAATCACAATTGTTTTTCATTTTGGCATTTTCAGTACATTTTATATTTACAATACATTTTTTTATTTATAATTCAATATAAATCCTGCAGTCATTATGTAACGCGGATTCTTACAGCTACCTTGCCCAACGCATTAGCACGCTGTCAGCATCTTGGGCTCCTTGCCGCCTGGACCTAATTATATTCACATAATCTAATCCTAGTTTTAGTTTCTAGTATTTAAGCTTTTATTGTACCTTATCTGTATATTTTAAAATTAATCTCTAATAAATAACTAATTAAAACCTTTATACATATTCTTTTTCCAGGACCCGCAAAAACCAGACACCTGGTCTGGTATACTGGATGCAACAAAACCAGGCCCAAAATGCAGTCAAATGAATCCATTATCCGGAAAGGGGGTGGAAGGATCCGAAGATTGTCTATATCTAAACGTGTACACGCCGAGTTTGCCACAAGAAGAACTAGAAAAACTTCCAGTGATATTCTTTGTCCATGGCGGCAGTTATCTTTTTGGTCATGGAGACTATTACAGACCTGACTATTACATAGATAAGGATGTTGTTTTGGTAACCATAAACTATAGACTTCACATACTTGGATTCTTATGCCTTCATACCGAAAATGTACCAGGAAATGCTGCATTTAAAGATACAATAATGGCTTTAAAATGGGTTAAAAATAATATAAAATACTTTAACGGTGATGAGAACAACGTAACAGCGTTTGGGGACAGTGCGGGAGGTTCTGTAACGTCATCGTATACTGTTACGAAAATGGCAGACGGTCTTGTTCACAAAATAATCACACAATCTGGAGTTTGTATTTCTGATTTGTTGTTTACCGAAGAAGATCCTATAGCAAAGGCTAAACAAGTAACTAATCTTCTTGGCAAAGACCTAAAGGACATTAATGAATTATATGAATTTCTCCTAAATGAGCCAGTTGAAAATTTAGTATCAGCTGTTATGACAATTGAAATGGCAAGACCACCGTATATTATAAATTGTCATTTCTTACCCGTCGTCGAAAAAAAATTCGACCACGTTGAGCCGTGTTTCGGAGAATTCCCTCTAGTTACTATACTGAAAAACAATCATAAAAAGCTACCATTTTTGACAGGTGTAACCTCTCATGACGGCGCTTTGTTTGCTCAAAAAGATGGAAATATATCATATGTTGAGGACACACAAAGATTTATTCCGAGATTTCTGTCCTTGCCACATGACAGTCCCAAATCAAAGAAACTTGGTAGAGCATTGCATGAGTTTTACTTTAAAAACGAACCAATAAATGACAGCAAAAAAGAAGAATACGTTAACTTCCTATCAGACGCTTACTTCATTCGAGATGCGATACAAATTTGCGAACTATACAACTATGAAAATGTGCTTATGTATAATTTTCGTTATTCTGGCAATATGAGTACGAGAATAATGAAGAATCTCGGCATAAAGGGAGCGACTCACGGAGACATAGTTCAATATCAATTTTATAGGAAAAGCAAACACGAGAAACGTGACGCAAACGATGAGAACATTATTAAATTTCTAAGCGAAGCTTGGTGTAGTTTTGCCAAAAATGGGTGAGAATAATTTCATACTTTAATTGAAAATTGTCAGAACGCTTGAAATAAAATAGTCTTCCACAAAATTGAGCCGAACTTGAAAACAAGAAATGTGACGTCATGCGGACCACGATGTCACACTACATCGACCTTCACTCTGTCACACTAGGTCACATTTCGTAGGACTATTAATAAACTTTGAATTACCTTAACAAACCACCACAATGTCACACACTACGTCCTTCACTCTGTCACACTAGGTCACATTTCGATTACCTACTTTGTACTGAATTACCCTAAAAAATGTCATTTAATTGCATTCTGGTAATTGTCTACAAATTTTATGCCTTTATTATTTATTATCCCTTCCTCTCCTTTCCATCAGCGGACCACCCGTGCCGGACTGCGTTGCCACAGATGGACGGTCAGTTCAATACCGTCCCGCACTAAAAAGTTTGGCAACTCGTTTTTATGCCGAACCATCAAATTGTGGAACCAACTCCCGGCGCATGTATTCCCTCCCCTCTATAACATCGGGTCCTTCAAACGTAGTGTGAAGAAGCATTTGACCAGACCGGCAAAATGATAGTGACGGAGTGAAGATATTTGTGTTTTCCATCCGTTACTCTCATCTCTGGACTGTATTCGCACTTTCCATCAGGCGCGGTGCAGTCATTTTGCCGAGTCACAATAAAAAAAAAATATTAAGTCAATCTACATAGGTAATATTGTTCGGTAACATGTGAATTTCCCGCATTAACTTTTTAATATAGACACAAATGTGAAAATGTCTTTATTATTTCAGAATACCAACATGGTCGAACCAGCGTACAAAATGGCTGCCTTACAACCGAGACACCCATCTCTGCCTAAACATAGATCAAGAATTGACTCTCACGCAGCACCCTCATTGGGAAAGAATCAAATTCTGGTTGGATAATATGGGTGAAAGGTCTAAATTATAAGTTATTCTAGTCAAATTTACAGGTGTCACGTAATTAATAGAAAAAAATATGCATCTAAGGTGTTTTTGTACTTCAACCTATAATGATGAATTCCAACCTACTGTAAGACTCCATAGGGCCCATTCACATTGTACGCATTTGTATACACAACCCTTTCATGTAAAGTCCCTTACCTACCCGCGTTGTGGACCTTGTCCAAGATCCTCTACTTGAATGAGCGGGACAGCCCCATATCTACATTAGTTTTGATTGTAGTGAACCTCCCTACCACCCTTAGTACCGACCACCCTTAGGGTATACGAGAAGGGCACTATAAACTATGAACTCACAGAAACCTTACAAGTTCAGGTTCTGACCCCAGATCAGACAATGTACAAGGTTGTCACAGACCCTCTCACCCTCAGTACCCTCTCTGTTTTCCATATGGGTATATGGAAAACAGAGAGGGTACTTTGAACAAGACATGTCTGTACAGTACCCTCTCTGTTTTCCATATACCCATATGTACGGTACAGACATGTCTTGTTCAACCACAGCATTCGGTTCCGCACAATTGCACGCGGCGGGCAACGTTATTTTCACCTCTCTGAGCGCGTGCTTAGATTCCTTTTTCCTAGTAATGAGCATCTGATGTTATTAGTCACATTAAATAGCCTATTATGGCATGGGTGTTTTCTATTCGTATCCGCCTTATATTCGTATCTGAATATCCGCCATTCAATGCCGTGTGAAAAGGGTCTTACGTTGCGCATTAATGCGAAGCCCCTATTACTTACCAGAATGTAGAAATTAATTGTTATTAATGTATTATTAAGTTATTACTTATTAGTCTAAGTATGATATTGGTGGTTTTTGTGAACAAATAACATATATTTGGTGTTTTTAATCATTGTTTTGATTCTACTCGCTTACCTATTATATCCCGCAATCTATTGGATTGTTGAATGAAATTAAATACATGTTGTTAAATAGATGATGATATTTATTTTTAAGTAATTTTCTAGAATAAAACTGCCGCTTGTTCGTTTTTCATAAGTATATTTTTCGAAAAGTTGTCTAAAATCACATTTTTCTATTAATTATGTAAAGAGTTCATATTATCTCAAGCACACGCAGAGTCCCGGGTTCGATTCCAATATATTTTTTGTACTCCCGCCAAAATTACATCAAATAGAAATCAGCAAAAGCTAAGTTTATCGTTAGCTCAAATGTTTATTTTTTTATATTCTACGCGGTTAAGTGACAAAATATTTTTTTGGGATATCATAAAAAACCATAACCCAGTTTTAGAATATCGAAATTGTTTAATGATATTTCAGCTATGCAGCGTCAGGGTAAGTTCCGATAAGCCGAACACGATAATTAATTTTAGCTGTTTATAAAACGGAGTTTTGTGGTATATTTTTTGCTATTTAAAACGGTTATTTAACCATTTGTCACTTACTCGCGTTTTAGTTAGTGGACGCCAGTATTATTAGTGTAACAGACAGACGAAAAATCATAACTTGAGCGATTCCACTTGTTATAAGACATCACAATTACGTCCTTTACTATTTTTAGTCGCAAGTGTTATCTTGAATACCTGAAAAAAATCATGGAGCCTGAAAACCTCAAACATATTTAGATGGAGACCAAAAATATTGTAAGCGCCAAAGAAGGCATAACATCCATTTTTTTTTAATTTGCATTAACAATCGGTCACAAAATTCATTATTATAATGTTAAAATTTAATTTTATCACATTTATATATATGTAGACATATTTCAAAAAAATCTGATATAAAATTTGTTTTTTGTTGCTTACACAAATTGGACGGTAATGGCCCGATATGGTAACTTTGATCTGATGCTGCAACAAGTGAAGAGGTTGTAAAGTAAGTTTGTGTTATTTTTCTATCGTGAAAATTTACAGGAATCGTGTTTTACCTTGTGTTGTTTAAAGCAGAATTGAGTATACACCATTGACTTACAATTATATGGACGTCGGGTCCGCGCTAAAAAGTGTCCGAACTTATAGGGCTTTAAAATCGTATACAGAGCGTCATTCACGCTTTAGTCTTCGTTTGTTCGACTGACAGCGAAGCAAGCAAAATTAGACAGTACTGCGATGACATTACAATTTAAATTCAACGTTTTAGCCTTTTCATATTCCTTTACATGTCACTACGTTTAAATAGGTTGACTTGGGACATTTTTTTCGTGGTTTTTGTATTAGACCCGTCGTCCATTACTTGGAAGTCAATGATATACACCAAGTATATTCTCAATTTTACTTTAAACTCTTTCCAAAGTGATTGGTTGAACACTTCCACTGTCATGCGGAATCAACCAAAGCCGTTTGAGGTGGTATAGAAGTGCATTACGTATTTTTTTTAGAGTCCCACGTAAATTTGTATGGTTTGTTCACTTTTTTGATCTTTTTTAAATAAAGAGATTAGCTGCCAGAAGCAGTTTCAACTTTCTTAAATTTGTGGTGCTTTGTAGGAGCCAAACCAAAATGACATTCTGGTGTTTTCTTACATTGCTTGCTTTTGGTATGAACATATACGAATTACATGAAACAAAATAAGTAAGCTCAGTAGGGCTAGCACGACATGAAGCGCGAGATACATCGCATAAACATATCGCGCTTTATGTCGCTCTCGCTCAAGTCACGCGCTGTCGTGCTAGCCCTACAAGTGGAGTAAAAGGGACTTGAAAACTAAACTCATAATCCAAGTTTATGCGCCTGCCAAATTTATGTAGTACCAATAGAGCTCCTTGTGAAAGAGTTCGTCTAAGGTAGTACTGGCACCTTACATATTTCTGCCGACAAGCAGTAATGTCAGCATTACTGTGTTCCGGTTTTGAAGGGTAAGGGTGTTGGTGAGATTTCAGGCACATGGGACTTGTCAACTTATGCCCCTCAGATCTTTGTAATTTAAAGCTCTGAGTGCACTGCAACTGTTGTAGACGACACACGAGTTGTTCATCCCGTCACTTGTTGTTATAAAAAGAAAGAAAAAATCGTCACCGACGGCAGCTGTGGAAATCTCGCGAATGCCCGAGCATTCTCAAAGGCCACGGAAGACTACAAATTTAGGCTTAAAAGTTTTCGTGTTTCTCGTTAGGTAGGTATTTAATGCCAAAAAATATCATACAACATAGGAACATAGGAACGTAACATAGGAGTACTGAAACCCGCTGCTCACCGAATCGAACTCGGAACGAGAAAACCGCGAGTAATCGGGTCCCGATTTTACGATCACCTACCCACAAGTCTAAAAAGTGTTACAAGTGACCAAGTGTTTTGTTCCCGACTGAAAGACCTTTTATTGGATAATGAATTCTACAGTGTAGAGGAATTTCTTTTAAAGAAATTGTAAATATATTTTAATTTTGCACGTTCGCATTTTGAAAATATTTTATTTTTATTTGTATTTTTGTAGTTCATATTTTCTTTTCATTATTTTATTTTATATTAACAATTAAATTATTTTAATTTTTTATTGAATTGATATTCAATTATTTTTTGTGAAATTATTCCACTAGTTTGTTATAATTATGAATAATTATAAAATAATTATTGTTTACATTAATGACGATGTTATCCCTTGACATTATATTTCGAATTGTAATATTATGAAATTGATAATATGAAATAAATGATTCTAAATTATTATATTCTACATATATCATTATTATATCTATATAAATAGGCAGCTATGTAAACACCACGGTAACAGCCACAAAAGCCAAGTTCCAGGGGTATAACTACTCTATTCTACATACGTGCTGTTCAATTAATCAGAAACCCAGGACCCCGACTCAGAATCTTTTCATGTAGCGAACTGTATCAATGGGTTAAAGGGTGAGTGCTAACAACGAGTGAGCAAGGCCAAGCAAATGTACTTACAGTTTATTAATAATTTACTAGATAACACGTATGTTGCTATCAAAGCAAAACAGCAAACACTAGTCTAGGAAAAGGCGCCAAAAACAAACACGTTTAAATTTAGAATTTAAGTATAAAACTAAAACTTAAACAGACTGTAAAATATATACGAAAGAGATTTGTAGCGACGGCTGCGTTTCGCTACAATTCAAATTGAACATCGTTCTCGAATCGAAGGGCGCTTCAGATCAATCGAGTTAATACGTTCGATTCCAATTCGGATACGATATCGTTATCCAACAACGTTTACGGAGTTAATAAAATATAATAAATTAATAAAATTGAACAAATCTAGATTTTATATAAAATAAAAGATTTCCATATTACAGGGGTCTATTCAGAACCTTACGATAACTCAGTTGTCGACCGATTCGATTTCATATCGTACGATGTCTTTTCATTTATATTCACAACACCCGAATCAAACGTCAAACTGTCGTATTCGAAACCGAACCGAAATGACGTCACTTCCACTACGATTACTCGAACTTCTCGACCGGCAAAAGGTACAAACGTTATTCAGAACACAGTTATCGATTGAAAGTTACCGCACGTCCCTATTGTATACAAAGCAAGAATGTAATATGGAAATTTCTTATAATTTTAAACAAAGTCTGGATTTTGATCAATTTTATATTTTAGACCTTTATTTTTTCTAATCGAAGACTAATTTCTGTTCTTTGAGCACTACTAAGCGTGTTACATGATGAGATGCCTTTTAAGTATATGATTATCACTAGTATCAGGTTTCTTACCACGGTATGACTTCTTTTTATTTTCCCGATATTTCTATATGTGGGAGCTCGTATATCGGTCAGACTAAACGAACAATTGTCGATCGTATGAAGGAACACATCCGAGCAGTAAAAAACAATGATGCACAGAAGTCGGCTATAGCACTACATCTCACACAGACTGACACTAACCACTGGATCGAGTTGCATAGGCCCCAGGTACTCTCGACAGAACGTCACTACATACCACGGTTGGTACGAGAAGCCATCGAGATCACGAAGTACAAAACATTTAACCGTGATGATGGTTTTAAACTGTCCAGTGCATGGAATCCGGTCCTTAGTGCGTGCAGTAATAAAAACAAAAACACCTCGAGTTCAGTTTCGCGTGTGGATACAGTGAGTGTGGTTTGTGTGAAAAAAGTGAGTGACAATGGTAACGCCACAACAAATCGCGATGAAGGTAGTCGTCGACAGCGCAAGAGGGTAGACAGATATGTCTGCTCATAAAGCTGTCATCTGCCGCCGTCCAGTCAACCCGTGACCATGGAGCGTGCAACCGTTCCGAAATATCGGGAAAATAAAAAGAAGTCGTACCGTGGTAAGAAACCTGATACTAGTGATAATCATTTAGTGAATAACCACGAAAGTCTTAAAATCTATATAGCCTTTTAAGTATGATTGAAATTGTTAGTTTTGTTTTGTAGGTTCCACGCTTTCTTATTAGTTCTTTTAGAGGAGTAGTCATTTTATATTAAGTAAATATTAAATCTAGCAAATACTTATCTTATTTAAACTTTGTATTGAGAACTGAAAGATAAGTGGTGCATGCTAATTAACTTGAAAAAAAATTGGAACAATCCAAATGCAATGATAAATTAGTAACGTAGTAATAAATTATACTAATCTTGGGTGCATATGCGTGTAGCCAAAAAAAAAGCGCCGTGCGTTAGTTTCTGTTTAAAGGCCAGCTGATTTGAGCATCCGACGATCTGAGCTGGACCAGCACAAGCGCAATAGGCCGGGAAATTAACAGGAAGAGCGCCGCCTAAAGCTTGACAGCAAGCAATCATCAGCTGTGAATAAATAATAAATGGACAGCTATGTTAATAATGCTAATCACTGAAGCTGCGAATGCCTCAAACAATGCATGGATTGTGCTAAAACAAGATTGTAGTTCATTTACAGAACTTTACGTGTTGGGTACTGTGATGAAGTATATGAAGACTTCAATGAACCACAGCATAACATAATGTGCGAACACAGATGTATCAATAGGTATATCGATTGCGGGATTGCAACGAATTAAATGACGATTTCAATGAACATACAAAATGTGGTTGTGCAAACACAACACACTTGAGATTTATTACGCAACGAGTTGCAAGTTAATACAACTTCACGAATTAAATTGTAACTCAATTTGACTCTGCGTAAATGTGTGGGATTTGGGATGGAAACGGATAGATTGGAACGAACTCACAGATTTCCTTTCCTGTACAAAATGGCGTGCGCTGGCGCTGCTGCGTGCGTGTCTCTGAATTTATTCGGCTCGATATGACCACTTGTTTACGCAGGAATGCAGGGTGTGAAAGAAAGGTCTTCTGTTCGTTTTCAATATGCTGAATGTAATGTACTTAGAAATTAATTAAAAAAAATAATATTTAAACAATGCGTCTGATGCGCTAATTCTCGCAGAGTGAGAAAAAAAGAAAATGACAGCTCCGATGCGAGGCGAAGTGTGGGAGGCGGGCCGGCTGCGCTTTTTTATCGCGTGCATTAACAATGTATTACCAATAATTGCTACGTAGGTATTTGCTACTTTCACAAATTAAAGGTATACGCTTCTTATCTATACACTTGTTCCTTGCTAAATGTGATGTACTTTCAATACGCCAGCTATTCATACTACTAACCGTAATAAAAAAGCATTCACTAACACCATATATCCCATCACTCCAAACCAGCAAAAGACGAGCAGACATTGTTTGTTCAACTGAACGGTTTCGAACAGAACACTCCCACAGATTCTTTTGCTTTCTTGGTAGCTATTTGTATAATAAAATAAATCGTTCTCTATCTATATATCCTATGAATAAGTTTCAATGTAAAAAAACCGTACAAGAATGGTTAAAAAGAATTAACTACAATGACACTGAAAATTTTATATCAGTTTTTAAGTAATATAAATATAATTAAGACGCCAGCTATTATAATTAAGATTTATGTATTATTGTAATTTATTGTTATTGAACAAAATATGTTGACTAACCGTTATGCTATAATCACCAATTTAGATACCTAAGACACAAGTAAACAATTTTATTTACTTTAGGTATCACCTAGATTAATTTGCACTACTAACCTTAATTAAAGTAATGTAAACATAAAATAATTTCATTGTTTGCGACAATTTGGCGCATATATGTAAATAATAGGTTATTTAATAAGATTTATGTATGTATTTAGGTTAATATTTTATACAGAAATAAATTTATCTTTATCTTTATCTTTATCTTTACACTAGTTAAAAAAATATAACCGATTGAAAATTTTATTTTACATCTTTGCAAGATGTTAGTATTTTAAAAATACCCCGTATACTTAGCGACATAACTTTATGTTCTTGTCCGCCTCTTTTAACTCATCGCATCGTTCTATTAGACATTGTTTTTCCTTTTGGACCGGTTTATTTGAAGTCCAACCTTGAAATAAATTAAAATCAAACAGCGTGGTTTGTGTTTAGTTGATTTTGATATATGGAGAGGTATCGTAGTGCATTGTATATAATGGCGTTTAGTTACGATTTTTTGACTATTTTAACGTGCCTTGCAATAATTGGTGAGTCAATTACGGATTTATTTTTTTCCACATATTGTTTTTTATAATTTAGCATATTTTCATTGTGTTGATATGTTCTTCAAGTACTTGTGCGGTGCCGATGTATGCCGGTGGCGAAATGTTAAACTTTTTGGTGCACAAATTACATTTTCGTAAGCGCGTTTACGCTGTGCATCCGATTCGTATATATAATCTCAGTACAAGTAAAACCGACCTCAAAAATCATTCATCCCCTAGTTTGCCGCCCTTAGAGGTGGTATATTTTCTTCAAATTTAAATGGAACCATTTCCGAGGTACTTTCTTTCCAACGAAAAACAGTCATCGCAATCGGTTCACAAATTTGGAGTTATCGTGTAATGCATAAAAAAAACTCAGTCGAATTGAGAACCTCCTCCTTTTTCTAAGTCGGTTAACAAATCTAGGAAACTCGGATCCACTTCGGATATAGCATATTTTCATTGTGTTTACATGTTCTAAGTCCGAACCAAATCCGAGAAAATTCGAATCGGTACGCCTAGAGATAAAAATTATCTCTGTAACATTTTTTTGATAGATAGATAGATAACACGTTTATTCAGCACAAATACAAACAGAAACAAAACATTAAAATCACTTCACAGAGTTTATACGTAAAAGCACATAGAACATTCATTATTAATTTTATACACATTTATATAAAACACATATTGCGAGAAAAACAAATACTGTGAGAAAAACAAACAAATACTATAAGAACTGATCAAATTTTAATGTACCTATGACTACAGTTTGTGCTGAAATGGCCCTGACTCAGCATAAATACTGTAGACCGAGAAAGTCAAACAGTACTGGTTTTCTGCCAGTACCATATGGTGAGCGATCGCAGCCCAGTATGCCATGCCACCAAAATGCATCACACGCAAATATATGTACTTAATTATCAATTAAAAGTGTAAAATGTAAAGCAAATAATGTAAATAGTGTAAAGTAATGAAGGTAAGCAATATAAACAATAATGTAAGTTTACAAACATAACATTAAAATTATAACAACAGCCACCAAATATGCATTATAAAATATATATGTAGGTACGGAAATTCAGATTTACTGGCATCAAACCATCGATAAGGGAAATACGAGTATCTATGTAACGAGACACATCTGCTCTGACAAAAGATGCTTTTTGTATTCACGTTTGAATCATTTTTTATTATTGATGTCACGCAATGGAGGAGGAATATCATTCCAGCACTTACTGGCGCGATACATGAAATGTTTTGGGATGTTAATAAACCAATCGGAACTTATTTCCCCTTACACGTTGTGACCAATTAATTTCGAACCGTCATTTCAAGGATAATCGGACGTATTACAAACACTCTAAGTGACAGGCCGAACAAGTCGTACGCCTGGTGTTATTCAACACGCCTGTCCATAGAGCTTTAAATCGCAAAGATCCTTAGACTTCAAAACCGAAACACAGTATATGCTTAAATTACTGCTTGGCGGCAGAAATAGGTAAGGTGGCAGTACTTCCCTCGATGAACTCTTTCACATGGAGCTCTACTGCTCCTAAATATACATGTGTATTGACGTAGATTTGTATATTTATACACATACTTATATCTAAATCCAGTGGCGGATTTACAGTCTAGCCTATCCCAGGTCACGTAGTCAGTACCAGCCTCAGTTTCTCAGCACTCATCATAATAATATGCTGGTAGACTACATAATCAATTTACTTTATTGTCAACTTTTATAGAAATCGATTCAGAAATTAAGTTAACTATAATATCTGCTAGTTTTTAACATTTTTAGGAGGTTTCAGATTTAAATAAAACATTTAAAACGGTTTTAGGTTTTTTATCAATGAATATTTTGTTACGATTGGCCGCCCTAGACCTGCGCCTACTGGGCCTTAGGGCAAATACGCCACTGTCTAAATCCTAAACAAACTGTCTTATTCTAAGTATAACAAATATTTACTATTTTTGCACTAACGAATAAAGTATATGTGTAAAACACTGACTTACAATTATAGTGTAAAATGACCAGCCATTCGATTTCAGGTTTGTGGACCACTTTTACTTTGTCATGGCTTTAGCAGTACGTATATCATTTACGTTTTTAATATTCCAATTTACTAGTTATTACTAGCTATTCAAGCATTTTTCACTATTTTAGGAAGCTTTTTTTAAATTATTTACGTTAAAGAAAACGCAAAGGTTTAATACAAAGATATCTAATAAAATAGCGTGTTTAACATCATATTTTAGACCAGGATTTCTTAACCTGTGGTCCATGGACTTCTAAGGGGTCTGTGTAATGAACACCGGGGGTCCATGGCGAGCCTACCTAATATAATGGAACAGCAACTGTCACACTAACTATTCATATGTAATTATGTAAAATTTAATAGAATAGAATAGAATACGTTTATTTGCCAGAATACAGTAATTACAAAGGTCTTAAGTAAAATTAGGTATATTGTATTCAACCTGCAAGCAGATGTGCAAAGATTAATAGGATTCAATGTTTAGTCTCTATAGTTTCTAATCAATGTAATGAATTCGTAAATTCTAAGTATTCTTTATTATTATAGAAGCAATGTGTCAAAAGCCATTTTGTCACTTTTAATTTAAAAGTATGTCCTTGTAACAATTTAATTTCGTTTGGTAAATTATTGTAAATAATTATACAATTATACAATTGACTGACCGTGTCAACCGTGACCATGGGACCTGTAAAGGGCCCGAAACGTCGGTTTGTTTGAAAAAACAAATATACGCGATTTAAATCCGGAAAAATAGTTTCATTCCTATATATAACAATCGCGAAAACCTAAGAACTCAATTATACACATGTTGAAGCAGTTATTCTTATAAATTACTTTATGGTCACGAGGTTGGTATAAGAGATTCATAGTTTTTGCTTTAGTTTGCCTTTGAATGACTTCACCGCGTGTTTTAAAATATTGAGGATGAGAGTTGACAAATACGCAGATATCCCTAATGTACACGCATGGCAAAGGTAATATGTTTAGCCTTTTGAACAGCGGTTTCCAACTGTCATCGAACCACGCGCCGCAAATTGCTCGAATACACTTCTTCTGGACTTTAAACGCTCTTTCTAAGTTTACTGAGTTACCCCATAGTACAAGGCCGTATCTAAGTACAGACGAAACGTAGCCGTGATAGGCCGTCAACGCAACTTCTCGCGAGACAGTTTGCCTTAGTCTTCGTAAAGCGTAAACAAATCTGTATAAGTTCATGCACGTGTTTTCGATGTTCCTTCCAGTTAAGGTTCTTGTCGATTGTTAACCCAAGAAAGTTAAATGTGTCTAGTTCATCTACAGTATCAGATTTGTAATTAATTTTAACCGGTATGGGATTTGAGTTGTAAGATCTAAATGTCATAACTTTGGTTTTACTTATATTAACATTCAAGTCATTGATTCATCCAACTTATGACGTCTGTCAATGCTTTATTTACGTCAGTGTCAAAAGTAGCTTTGTTTTGGCATTTTATTATAACAGTTGTATCGTCAGCAAATTGTATACAATTATGATCAATAGCACGCGGGAGATCGTTATTGTAGAGTAGGAACAGTAACGGCCCCAAGACGCTACCTTGCGGTATTCCAGCATTAGTTTTAAAATGTTAATCGCAAACAATATAAGCTTAGTAATAATTAAACCTAGTTTATTATCTTTTCGAAAAGTGTCCGTGGGCTCTTTGACATTTTGAGAGGAGTCCACGACTACAAAAATGTTAAGAAAACCTTGCTTTAGACATTGAGGCGCCTGCGTGAAAGTTTACAGCAGTTCTTTTCTCTGTGTAATTGCTAGTGTTGCACCACCCTACATGACCACGGAGGAATTTCTTTATTTTTTATTATAGGTACACATTCATGAAAAAATTTATAAACAATTTTTACATTAAACATAATTTGGTATCAGTCATAGATGATATTCCTTTCTTGGCTCAGGGCTTCAGGACAAAGGAATTGGTCAACAAAGTAGATACTTTTTTCAATGGAAGAATGACGTGTCAAATTGATGTGCCACCTTTTCAATGAAAGTGACCCAATACAAAATTCCAACATTCTGAGAATTTAGTAGCAGTAGCGGTCTTTGTGAAAGAGATCGTACAGGGTAGTACTGCCACCTTACCTATTTCTGCCGTTATGCAGTAACGTTAAGTTAAGTAGTAATGTCAGCTTTACTGTGTTCCGGTTTTGAAGGGTAAGGGTGCTGGTGACATTACAAGCACACGAGACTTGTCAACTGATGTCTCAGAGCGACTGGCGCAGTGGCAGTGCCCCTCAAATTTATGCGATTTATAATTCTGAGTGGCAATTCAACTGTTATGGACAGGCGTGTAATTTACCCTAAGGCGCACGACTTGTCCGCCCTGTCACTTGATATTATAAAAAAATACGCAAAATAAACATGAAGTTGTAATATTTTCACATTGTTTAAAATCACTTGATTTCAAACAATGATTTGACTCTTACTGAGGTTTACAACTGCGGTGGTTTTTCTGCATGTAGAAAAGTTCGTTTTTCTTCATGGGCCCGGCCAGGGATCGAACCCGGGACCTCAGAGATGGTGACACCATGAAAACCGACGTGCAAGCCACTCAACCACAAAGATTTTCAAACAACTTCCGAAACGTATGCAGCCGACGACAGATGATCAGCGGCGTACGCATTGAATTATTTATTAATAGCATCTTTTTATTTTGACAGCTCAGGCGCAGCAGACTCCAACAATCTCCTACATAACTCAGGAGCAGACCCGTGACATTGGCGGACATGTTGACTTGGTTTGCGCTGTCCATGACGCCCAAGACTATCCTGTGTTATGGGTAAGACCATTCAGTTGTTCCAGAGCAAAACCTAGGAAGGGACAAATTTTTTTAGCGGAATAGTTAGTACTGTAATATAGGATCTACTTTATGTGTAGAAATACTGGCTGAATGAATGTAGGTTTGGGTTTAGAATGTAAAAAATAAGAGAAAAAAGATAAGAAGATCTTGGCTAGATTCCAAATTGAATACACGTTACAGTTATATTTATTGAGTTTTCTTATAAAAGTACCTCTACGCAACGCAATCTGAGCTACGGCTTCGAACTTCTGAACACACTGCCCCTCAAGAAATAGAAGGGAAACGATAGATGGCGGCGCAACGATTGTGCGACCGCTGGAAAACGAGTCTCGCCGATTCGCTCCGCTCGGTTCTCGACCAGTGGGTCGATAGGAGACACGGACTCTCAATGTACCGGCTTGTGCAAAGTCGCTAAGATGGAGACGTCAACGTCCTGCCATGAGCGCGGCGACGCGGAAGACAGAAGCGTGCAATCGCTGTAGTGTGCAACGCCGCAATCTGGTAGCGACTATAGGGGGAGATCCAAGAGCGGTATGTGTCAAGCTGAGCAGCGAAGAATCGTAGGAAGCTGTGGTCTTCTTTTGCGAGGAGGTCATCTAGCAAAAGGAGACCGCGGAGCGGGTACGTGAAGACGCGAGAACCCGCTCCGGCGCACGCGGCGGGGAAGAAGGCGAACTCAGTTCGCTGCTCGCCTAAATTCCCTAATGAGTCCAGCGGACAAGTGACGTCTATCCCTTCGTCTGAAGGGAGGAACTTTGGTAGAAGCCAAGGTGGCCGGGGGCGTCGTAGTGGTGAATCTGCGGGATCCCCGGCCAAGAGGGTATCCGTGAGCTTCCCCGGGCTCGATAGTATACGTGAAGCATTTCCCCCCGTTAAAAAAGGAAGGTTTTAAAGTACCTAGTTAAAGTGCCTTATTAGGTAATTTCAATTGACAATTACTAGATATTAACTTTACTGATGGTCTGATACTGAAAATCTTAGGCATTTTATTAATTTAATTATTCAAACAAAATCAAATTTCATTCTAAATTTTCTAATGCAATAATAAAACCAAATACCTCGCAAATGCTTATGCTCTGTTTTGATTCTTTATTTTTATTTTATTTCTTTATTCAGGTAGCATACTGTCATATACATACAATTATCTAAGAACTTGTATAAAAATAGACCTATAGTACCATACATTAACACATTTTTATTTTATTTTATTTATTAAAAAGATTTTTTACAAAAAGAAAACCTATAAATTAAAACTTAGCGGTACAACAAACACCTGAATAGGTTTATCCGTACACTGCGATTCATTGACGTGAGCTCGTAACAAAATTGGCTAACCCATTTGCCTACATACGCTTACCCAAAAACAACCACTACTCGAGTAAAAGACCCGTGAACGAAAATAATAAGTTATAGCGAAACTGATAAAATTAAATACCCTCGGAGTGGTGTTACAATAAAAACAGTCACTCACGTATACAGGACGTTCAGAGTTTATTTAATAAATATGATTTAAGATTTGTTTTTATGCTGTTAGTTGTAAGGTTAATTTTTATTTCTGGTGGTAGTGAATTAATTATTTTAGGTATAAAACAGCAAATAAGTGACGGATACAAAATTTTTACTCATATACTACCAAAATATTCACATTACAGGCCGAAAGATAATAATACAAATAAAAATATGCACTAAAACAACTACAATCTCAGTTCTCCCACTTTTGTAGTAAAATATTTAAGGAATTTACGAACATCATAAAGACACTCATCGACATTGACTTACAATTATATGGACGTCGGGTCCGCGCTAAAAAGTGTCCGAACTTATGGGGCGTTAAAATCGTATACAGAGCGTCATTCACGCTTTAGTCTTCGTTTGTTCGACTGACAGCGAAGCAAGCAAAATTAGACAGTACTGCGATGGCATTACAATTTAAATTCAACGTTTTAGCTTTTTCATATTCCTTTACATGTCACTACGTTTAAATAGGTTGACTTGGAACATTTTTTTCGTGGTTTTTGTATTAGACCCGTTGCGTCGTCCATTTATTTGTAAGTCAATGCTCATCGATCATAAAAACTACACGATCGCCTGAGAAAGGTATTTTTTGCATAATTTTTCCGAAAATTTGAAACATAAAAAGTTCTTTTTTAACGTAGGGAGATACGAGGTACATTAAACGTGATTTTCATTGTGAACGAGCTTGTATAAAAATATACTATCTAGGAAATGACGTCTAGAAATTAGTGACTGTATATTATGATTTTTTACACTAGCTTCGTAGTCAGTATTCTGGATGCTATAAGAACTTTTTTTATGTAACATTAATATTTAAAGTTAGTAAGGGTATAAAATAGTGTAATATTTAAGTTGTGATTATTTTTGTGACATCATTATATTCGTTGATTGGTCCCTTATACTATTATATTTTATTACTTTGAAGTTTAAGGGCGACCTCGATTTGTCTCTTTACTTTCAGGTAAAGTACAATCGCCTGAATGAGACAGAGCCTCTACCCTTGTCGACTTCCTCTAGTTTGATCACCAAGGATCCGAGATTCTCGTTGCAGTTTGAAGCTGCCTCCGGTACCTCTAAGCTTTCTGTAAGCATTTTGTGATATCATAATTTAAAAAGTTGTTAGGATTATGAATACAAAGATCAAATACATAGAAAAACTTTATCGACCCGATGGGACTTGAACCCGTGACCATACTGCACTGTATGCTGCGGTGAAGAAGGTTCTAAAATTCCTCACTAGATGTCACTAGCGGCTCAGAATGCCGAAAGATCCAGTACAAAGATATTTAACAAAAACACATAGGGGAATTTTGACAGCTAGATAACTTAACCCGTAGCTCAGTTAGTAAGAGCGATACTGCGGTGCAAGCTCCATCGGGTGTTCGATCTTTGTAGTAATAAAATCATAATAAAAACCAGTGAAGTTATTTTAGAATAAATCTCAATAATTCTGTAGTTATTTTTCAAACATGCTTGGAAACGTTTGCATTACTTTCAAAAAACGAACACGCTTGTGCGCTTGGAGGTATTTAACTACCGTCAAATCAAATACCTATTAACTACTTATGATATACACCAGAGAAAATATAGAAAAGTTAGTTTTCTACGTTGATCCGGCTGGGGATCGAACCCGGGACCTCAGAGATAGCGACACCATAAAAACCTGTGTGCAAAACACTCGACCACGAAGAAAACCCGTTGTAATATAGCATAGCGTGACTTGGTAAATAGGATAATGAATTAATTCGTTTTACAGATAAAAAATATACAAGAAACTGACGCCGGCTTGTACCAATGTCGTGTGCAAATGTCCGTAAACAACAAGGTAACCGCCGATGTAGAGCTACGAGTGAGAGACTCTCCGATATTTATAGATAATTCCACGAGGTCGCTCGACACTATCGCGGGAGAAAGTGAGTGTTTTATGGTTGAGTATGGGGTATAATATACATCATATAGCAAATATAGCAAATATAGCAAATATAGCGTCATATAGCAAATTCTAGGCAAACAATGTACACGGGGGTTTTTGTAGTATAAAATTCGTACTCTCAAATCCAAGGTAACGTTACAAATATTAAAAAAAAATTGTTGCATAGTAACATTATCATAGTCAGTGTGCGATATAGAAAAGTTTTTTTCTACACTGACCCGGCCGGGGAGCGAACCTGCGATGGTGACACCATGAAAACCGGTATACAAGCCACACGACCACTGAGGTCATCAAACAACTTCCGATAGGAATGCAGCGACGACAGCTGATCAGCGGCGTACGCATTTTACTGTGTATTAATAGCATCTTTTCACTTTGACAGCTCACGCACAGCAGACTCCAACAATCTCCTACATAAATCAGGAGCAGACCCCTGTCATTGGCGGACAAGTTGACCTGATTTGCGCTGTCCGGGACGCCCAAGACTATCCTGTGTTATGGGTAAGACCACTCGGTTGTTTCAGAGCAAAACCTAGTAAGGGACTAGTTTTTTGAAAATATTTTTGTTTAACGGATTACGGAATACTACTCCCTTAGAGCATGTAGGACGGGAGGCGCTATTAGCGTTATTTCTCGTACAACATTTTCTGCCATTTTTAAAGGGGCGGGGTGGGGGGTGGCGTGGGGGGTAATACCACAACCAAACAGGTGCACTCAAATGCAATATTGAATTGTGTCAATATGGTCTCACACAAACAAAAGTCGACTACACCAGCTTATTTCTATAATTTCACCAGCACCTTTATTTACCCTTCAAAACCGGAACGCAGTACCTAATGCTCACATTACTGCTTGCCGAAATCGGGAAAGTATAACTTTCCTCGACGCACTCTTTCACAAGATGCTCTACCTAGTTCTACTAAACTTATTGACGCCACCACCAAAACTGTCTTTTCCCTTTTGCAGTTCTTGGGATTTTTACCTTATAAAACACATTTCTTTTCGGTCTTAGATTAAAGAAAATTATCACAGTGCCCTGGAATGCTCATTGTTCATCAATTGGGCTTCGTCTTTTGATTGATTGAGGAATCACAAAGAATTATACTGCTACGAAAATGAAAGAAAACGTGTTAAGTCTCCAGACTATCGCCTTAAGCTTGGAGTTGTGTTTAATAGAAGCCTATTTATCCCTTTATTTCCAGGTAAAATACGATCGCACGAATGAGACAGAGCCTCAACCCCTGTCGAGTTCCTCTAGTTTGATCATCAAGGATCCGAGGTTCTCTTTGAAGTTTGACGCTGCCTCCGGCACATCTGAGCTTTCTGTAAGCATTTTGTGATATATAATTGAAATGGTTATTTCATCACACTTGCTCATAAACTGTATGAGTACATGGTGGCTAACTTGACTATAATATATGAAGAACTTTTTATAATTGATTTTAATTATTTTCTTTATAAAAATTTTGCAATTTATTTTTTACACACTATGATGACTGTATGCGTATTTGCTTTTTATAACATTTTAGTTCGGGTTGTATTATCTATGGAACAATAGCTAGCCATTTACAAAATCCATGGTTGTTGTGTTGTGGACCTTATTTATTCGTACAAGAAACAAAATAAACATTGTAGTTTTGTTCTCGCAAATGTGATGGAAAACATTGTATGCAAACGCGGACGGAAAAAAAATACAAAACCTCGTTTGTAATTTCGACTTTACCGCCCTGTTTATATTACACAATGTACTAATATTTCTCAAACATGCTTGGAAACATTTGCATTACTTTCAAAAAACGACCACTCTCGTGCACCTGGTGGTAATCAACTAACCTTCAAATCAAATATTTAGTAACTATTTACGAAATAAACCAGAAACAATATAGACATGTTAGTTTTCTACATTGATCCGGTCGGGGATCGAATCCGGGACCTCAGAGATAGCGACACCATAAAAACCGATGTGCAAGCCAATCGACTACGGAAATACCCCGACGTAGTCAGTACCAGGCAGGCCATGTAGTCATTACCAGTCGCCCCTTCCTCAGCACTCATCATATACTGGCAGACTACATAATGAATTAACTTTCCAATTTTTATCGAAATCGATTCAGAAATTTAGTTCAATATAATAGCTGAACTCTGTCTATTGGTGGAAACCGCATGAAAATCCGTTCAGTACTTTTTGAGTTTATCGCGACCAGACAGACAGACGCGGTAGTGATAATATGTAGTGATGTAATTAGTGATCATAGGTGCATTATATTATAGATACGTAACATGTCTATATTTTATACATAAAATGTACGAAAGCGATTTACTATGACCTAAGCGAGTTATTTCTTATTATCATCAGTGAATTTTTTGTCACGATTGGCCGCCCCTAAAATCTCGCCCTAGGCCCGGGCCTACTGTGCCTTACGGTAAATACGCCACTGGATGCACATTACCATTTGATTTTCATGTGAATACGATCTAGCAATTTTTTGTATCCATTAACTTCAATTAAGGCGAACAGAATCGACTAGACCGTATTCGTAATTTAAACAAAAACCTCGGGGTATTAATTTGTCGTAGTCAGTCAGTAATAGGAATTGATCATTGTTTATATCAAGCAAGATCTATTACAGATAAATGCCGAGATTTTGGATTATTATATTAGAGATTTAGACTATTTGTATGTATACAGCAAATAATGAAACATTTATCCATAATCAGCTTTTATTTAAAGCTGTTTTAATTTATTGCTCGTCATGATTAGTTGTGCGTGTGAGTGAATCGATTAAATCCAGTGAGTGGTTTAATTTTATAAAGACTAATAATGGAGGAAAATGCATCATCATCAAGGCATCTGTAAAGAGTAAAACAATATTTACATATAATTATTCCAATTAAATCAAATGACATAAATAAGGGGTTTTAATAATTACAAATACAAATTTAGAAACGATTTTTATGAGATAGATTCAAGTGCATACGATCCCGTCCGAGGATCGATTCAGAGGCATATGATCCAAAAAACGATTCAAAGCAAAAAATCGGGCATCGCTAGCGTAGCGTGGCGTGGCGTGTAGGGTAATGAATTAATTATTTACAGATAAAAGACATACAAGAAACTGATGCCGGCTTGTACCAATGTCGTGTGCAAATGTCCGTAAGCAACAAGGTAACCGCCGATGTAGAGCTACGAGTGAGAAGCCCTCCGATATTTATTGATAACTCCACGAGGTCGCTCGTGACTATCGCGGGAGAAAGTGAGTAATTTACTGTTGAGTATGGGGTATCTTTAGAATATAGTTTTTTAACCTTTTTCTAATCATGGACCCGTCTCACAATTTCAAAGAGCTCAAGGACCCTTTCCGAAAAGACGCGCGCACAGTATTTATTAACTGGCAACATATAATATTGTATACCAATTTTTAACCGACTTCAAAGGAGGAGGATTGAACGACTGTATTTTTTGGGGGTAATGTCCTTTAACCGATTTCAATAAAACTTGGCAAATAGATGTAATTCCAATAAAGAAACCGATAAGCAAACGTTGAGGTAGTTTTTTTTAACAAAAATGTTATAATTATTATATTAACGTGCTATGTTAGGTAGGCTCGCCAATGACCCCCGGCACCCATTACACGGACCCCTTAGAAGTCGAATCTTTAGAAGATTTTATGTTAACTGTCTCCATGGTCGGTTACTATGCTGGTCTGCCACGCAGAGGCCCTGGTTTCGATTCCCGGGCCGGGAGCAATATTTGTATGGCCTACATTTATTTATGTCGTGAGTTTGGGTGTAATTTGTGGTCGTGTATGAGTGTGTCTATGGCACCCGCTAATGCTAATGTTGAGTGTGTGCGTTATTATTGTTATTTTTAATTTCATTGCTTTAAACATCATTTTCTCGGTATCAATTACTAATCATTGGAACGACGTAACATTTACAATTCAGTCATTTTTGGCAAAATCTTATCTTCTTTCACAATCTGCCGATAAAACTATCGGCAACAACTACATGACTATTTAAAATTTTATGAAAACTGGCAACCCTACAAATGTCGTTTTACTCCGTCTTCAAAAAAGACAGATTATAGTTACGTATCGGAGCGTTAGTTCGAAACGGTGCTAGTAGATGGCGTTGACTAGTTTTACGCTAAGAGCGTTTGCGGACTCGGTAGGTACATCCGATTCATTTCCGAGAAATAACGGCCCGAAATGTCACCGGTGTCCAAAGTGTCATTTTATCTCGAAGTGTAGAAACGATATTCGTATTTTTTCGGATTAGACTCGTCCTTAGTGGGTAAACGCGCTTATTATCTATCATTTTATGCGAAAATTCAAATAGTTGTTGTATACTTGAAATCGTTATATTAATTCACATTCTAGAATATGCATGTTGTTTAGGTGTTCAGATGGAATGCTACGCTGGGGGCTTCCCGCCGCCGGAGATCTCATGGCGGCGTGAGAACAATGTGATTTTACCAACTGGAGGACTTATTTACAGGTAATATTTTTCAAAGTAGGTACACAATATCTCTTAATGCAGTACATAGCTGCCGTATTAGACTTTCATATTCAAAGCCAATCTCAAATATTCTTTATTTCATAGGTACAGCATAAGGATAAACAAATTACGAAAGTGAAAATATTATTGAATTCGATTTTACTATTATATTCAAATTTACAACATCTCTGAAAAACAAACCAATTTGATTGGACCTCAATTCTAATATCAGTCGAAGTTTTATTCGAAATGAAATGTCAATAGCCATTGACTTACAAATAAATGGACGACGGGTCTAATACAAAAACCACGAAAAAAATGTCCCAAGTCAACCTATTTAAACGTAGTGACATGTAAAGGAATATGAAAAAGCTAAAACGTTGAATTTAAATTGTAATGTCATCGCAGTACTGTCTAATTTTGCTTGCTTCGCTGTCAGAAGAAACAAACGAAGTCCAAAACAGGTCCAGAACTGTCATGTATTAATAATAGGGGTTAAAGTATGAAATTGCCGATTTGTACTGAAAAT